GGCATTCGCATCTCGGAAATCGTTAGAGACTCAGGGTCGGTTAAATGAAGATAAAGTTGCGTAATATCCGGATGAAGGCTTGTCGGTTAAACCGCAAAAAAGCTTAATTATCCCGATGTCCTAAGCTCAATGTAGCGGAAATCCCCTTTTCAAAAAAGGTCAAATATCTTGGAGTTATTTTTGACCAAAAGATGACCTGGAATCTACACCTCAATTAAGTTATCCAGAAGGCCAAAATTTCCCAGGGGAGATGCAGAAGGCTCTGTGGAAAAAGCTGGGGACTTAATCCAAAAATGAATCTATGGTTATACAAAATGGTGATAAGACCAATGATAACCTACGGTTCGGTTGCCTGGGGTACAAAGGTCACACAGCCGTAGCAATCAGACAGCTTCAAAGTGTGCAAAGGCTAGCCTGCGTATGCATCAGGGTGCCATGAAAACAGACCCAACCACCCTTGGAGGTGCTGCTAAACCTGCCGCCACTACATATGTACATACAGGGTGAAGTAAAGGCGGTACTATACAGACTGAAGCAAGGCCAGGGTCCAATTATAAAACACCAAAGGCCCATGAGCTGGAAAATAGAGGAGGACCCAGGTCCCAGAGGTAAACTCATTGTTCGGGATGCCCTCGAACAAAACAAAACCTACCTTCATTTTCAATAGGCATTTCTGGCCTCCGGGTTGCCCTACCAGGGAAGAAAAACTGGGAGAAAGGTCCCCCAATTAAAGCAGACCACATCTGGTACACCGGCGGCTCCAAGGCCAGCAAGGGGGTTGAAGCCGGCATCTACGGGAACAAACCTATATAGGGCGGAAATATCCACAAGTCTCGGACGGTACGCCACGGTGTTTCAGGCGGAAATCCCTGCAATAATGCACTGTGCCATACTGATAAATGGAAGGAAAGTTGGGAGTAAAAACATCGTTATTTACTCGGACAGCCAGGCGGCTCTAAAGGCAATCAGCTCCCAAAAGATCAGCTCCAAGCTGGTTGGAGACTGTGTACGTGCCCTAGAGGAGGTGGGTCTGTTCAACAAACTTACTGGCCCGTGGAAACCCAGGAAATGAAAAGGCTGATAACTTGGCCAAAGGAGGCTCGGCCACCGAGATGATAGGCCCAGAACCATTCTGCGGAATTTCTGCAGGCAGTTTTAAAACATCTACTAAGAACTGGATAGACAAGGAGTTCCAGAGCTGGTGGCAGCGAACACCAGGACAACGATAGGCAAAGCAGTTTATCAAATCCTGCTCGCCCAAGTTCACAGCGGACCTACTAAGCCACAGCCGCAAGATTGTTAGGGCATTGTAAACTCAACAAGCACCTGGAAGAATGAACGTGGCGGAGGATAGTCTGTGTAGGTTCTGCCAGGAGGCGGAAGAAACTGCCGTATATGTATGGTGCCATTGCGGAGCGTTATGCAGGCTTAGGTTTACGAGGCTTGGAGAGGAAAAACCCAATCCGGCAAGCTACATGGAGTGGCCAGTATCATGGCTCTGGAGTCCAATAAAAAGGACGGGTCTAGAGAACGCAATCCAAGGACAGATATGAGATACCACAATAAATCTGATAAGGTTGCAGTGGTAGGGGACGCCTCTGTGCCATCTCCATTCAAACAAATTTTAAACAAATATTTGGAAATATTCAGAAAAAACTCGAAATTTTGCAAAATTGTTTTTAATTCTGCCTGAGTTTATTCGAAGGAATATTTTAAAATAAATGACATTTTCGGAGTCACTTTTTCCACTCTACCAAACGGCGTTATTGAAAATGAGATCCGACGTGTCCGAGCCGTCTTCATCAATTATTTATTTAGTTTTTTTTAATAATAGTTGAAATATTTTGTTTTACATTTTCCAAACTCTCGTTTTAAATCTAAATCCAAGAACATATCACACAGATTTTTTCCGACGGTTCGGACTATTTTTATTTCTCCTAAGCTATGCTAAGCTGTTGCGCAAGACTTGACATAGATGTCTTGAATTTGATAATGTAATGCCATCATCAATGCAAAATTGATAATGGCTGAGCAAGAACGAAACGTCGGATCAAAAATTCAATCACGTTTTGTTGTTGAGGAGAAAAAATGATTACAAAAATGCCAGATCTATTTTTCGTAAAGCGACTTGTCACCAATGACAGAAACTAGGACAGAAAGCATATCTACCACCCAAGAAAAAGGCAACTATATAAATTATTATTAATAATAGCCTATCTTTTGGCAATTGATCAGAAATATTGCCTATATAAAATAATAAAATCCATTCCTAGACAAGAAGGTTATACAATTCAAGTATAAAGGACCCCGCACAAATCCTATGTAAATCCGGTCCCAGTGAAAACGGCTGAATTTTTTATATGTTGTAGTTTATGACCTGCTGATCAATTGCTCTCAAGGCCGCAAAAAAATTTATCGAGCCGTTTTCGAGACATGAGCTATCAAAGTTGGGATTTCCGGTGAACTCGATTGGGTAGGTACTAACGTTTCAGCTATACCTACCTGGCAAAGCTCAAGTACTGTACCAGTCAAGTTTAGCTGACTTATGATTTGAAGTTGGCTTGTCTTCAATTTTACATAATTTATTTACGGTAATAACTCAGGACCTAACATTTTTTCATTTTGTCAGCCCAGGTATTCTCATAATTAAAACATCCCTATAACGTCGGTAAGGAGTGGGAATGTGTGTCCTTACAAGGCCACAGCTGTCCACAGAAAATGTGTAAAAATAGCTATTTTTTCGATTCCGTATGTATTTAAACAAATAAGGGTTATATTATACCGGGTGGTTCATCCGCTTAGGACATATCAAAAATAGTTATATGCGTCCTATCCTGCCCGGTGATATTATTAAATTTTGTTGTTGCTAAATTACGTCTTCTAGAAAAATGTCCTCACAGCGTCATTCAAGTCAGTAAGGAAAGGATACATATTTGGACATGGTCCTTATAGCGTTATTTATTTACACAAAATCGCTAGTTTCCGCAATTTGGATCGTTTTTACTACTGGAAAATAATATATTAAAATAATATTATTTAGAGAAGACAGCCGGCGAATTTCCTTTGATGTCCGAAAACACGCTTTATCTTGGATTTTTATTTTCGTGTTAGGGCGGTGTTGCCGCTTTTACAATTCCATTCTGTTGTTAACCGTGTTGCCATAATTATTTATTTATAATGTAGGAAAAAGTCAGCGTTCACGTAAATATAAAATCGATGGCAATGCAAACGAAATAATGTTATGCGGAGTTACTAAGTATTTTCGGCAAGAATTGAAGACTAAACAGAAAGTTAGGTACATGAAGAAATAGTAGTTAAGACACCAGTTATATGTTACTCCTTTCTTTGGTACGTCCGGTGAGAGATAGCGTGATATTCTCTCCGTACCCCTTCCCACCTAGTACATTTTCCGTTCCCTTCTGCACTAGCGTGGGGGATTATCAGTGTAGTATCTTAAAGCTTGCATATACCGAGTGTTTTTCAGAGCTCGCTTACCTCTAAAACTTTTGTACTTTAAAAAATAAGCGAATCAAATTAGCTGTTTTTATTCATGACCCAAATGTGCATTATTTGACGAATTCAATTATTTATTATCACTTCTGGTTTGACTGGAAGTTACCCTAACTTTCTCACTTTAAATGAGACGCCATGTATATTTTCCCTTGTTTCAATAGAAAATTACATAACACAAGAAAATTAGATCAAAACAAATTTTCCCAGGTCTCTTGGTGCGAAATTAAGCATTTTTACTAATTCATGGTGCTCTAGATAAAAAAGTAGAAATCTGATATATTTGTAGGTAAAAAGTCGAAAAGTGACAAATGAGGTGTCATTGTACTCGTAATGTAGTTTTCTAGTGAATAGGGAAAAATATACCTGGCGTCTCATTTGAAATTAAAAAATTAGGGTCACTTCCGTTCAAACTGGAGGTGATAATTAGTAATCGAATACGTCAAATAATCCATATTCGGGTCATAAATAAATACAACAAATTTAATTTGTTTATCTCTAAAAATAAAAACATTATAAGAGTGAGGGTCTTCAACTCCTAGTTCTAAGATTTTTTTCCCAGCATATTTTAAAATTCATGTATTGTTCTGAATCTTCCTTATTAGATTAATTGCAAGAAAATATGGAAACCTTTTTGCAGCCGTTCAGGTATATCCGACAAGTATTAACCTCCTGGCTCCTACCTATCATTCGTAGCAATTATGTTTCAAACTTATTAATTTGATTTATTTTCGAAAGATACACACTGAGTGGATGTCCTAATACCGTGAACAAGCCCCACATTGATACACAATTATACACTCGAAGAGCGCCATCTACGTAAAACTGACCAAAATGGGTGAACTAAATTTTCGGGTGTAAGGTACGCTATGAGGACCCACATGATATATATACAGTTAGGACCGAAATGAGACGTTAAAGCCACCTATGAGGCCCGAACGCTCCCAGGACCAAAATTGGTCCTCATAACGTTTTGCGGTCCTTACAAAGTCGGTGAGGAGTGGGTGTGTGTCCTCATAAGATACGAGAAGTCCACACGCACACACGTCACATCGTACACAGCCAGTGTAGATTATCTGTACACCTGGCGACCATATTGGTAACAAGGGAGGGTTTTGTAGAGAGAGGCAATGTTTAAATTCTTATTATTTATACAGAAAAGCGCAGTTGAGACTCACATTTTAACTTACAAAGAAATTACTTTCGTCTACGTCTTTGGACTTAAAATAATCGATTAACGATTAACAATTCTTTTCAAACAACACTTCATTAATTTAAACAATTGCAATGACAAAGTTCAGTGCATTCGAGGTTCCTTGAGCCTTTCTTGCAGCTGCAGTTTCCACGACACACTCCTTTACACTTGTATCGTATTAGAGCTGTGCAGGCTTTAGACGCCACTTCTAGAGTCCTCCACACTGGCTCCCAAAAAAGCCGAATCGGCCCTCTCCCAGCCCCAATCTGCAGGTGAAGGAATATCCTGGTGCGGCTCAGGAGACTGGCGCCTGAGCCTGATATGAAGCTCTTCTCATGTGCTGGCAAAGAGCATCTTCTGTCGGCGGTACGTTCTCCATAGGGCGCTGAAACTTGGCATAAAGTGCTCTTCGGCAGTCTGTTAGGGATTTGTACATCTTAGACCTAAAAAAAAATACTTGTGGTTAAAAATTGCTAAAATTAGGGACCATACTTTAAAATAACATAAATTCGGGACTGAGCCTACTTGGTGTACATGGCTATAACAAAATTTATGAGTTTTGGACGAGCGTCTTCCAAATTCCCGTTTGATAGGGTAATGAAAGCGTCTTCAGAGCCTTCATAGCCTAGCATCATTTTCAGGGCTGTTGATTTGCCAATTGAGTGAAATGATGACACATTATCATTTCCCGTGAATGCATGCAGTCCTATCATTCCCATTGATTTTGCAGGTCCTACAGAAGATAAGGCATATTTTTGAATGAAATAAATCAATAAATTATTTGCATTGCAGCGTAACCCTTTCCTTACTTACCCAAGTATGCAGCTATTTCGTGGATTGGCACAAAAGTGTGTTTCTTTGCAGCTTTTAGGTGAACCCACAATTCCTGTACCAAAGGCAGCCGGTGGAAGCTGGACACGGCGTCAGCCGTGCCGTACTGCACTCGCGACGTGCACAAACAGTCTCGTGTCGGCCTCCTCATGGTTGCACGGTGACGGACCTTTCAGCGCTCCGATCTTTGGCGAAAATACAGCGAAGTCACCTAAGGTACTGCACAAGACGACCCCATCTACTTCGGGGTTTTCAATGCATAATGCCAAAATGCGAAATAGCTCTGTCTTGTTCTCGGAATGTCGCAAAAAAATATCCCATCCAGCAGGTATCTTTGTGGTAAGAGACACACGTGTCCTTACGCCTTCGTCGCGCTTGCTATATTACATCAAAATCGCACAATATTACATCAAAACAAATCCATGCGCGACAGGTTTCTACAGGATCGGCAACAATGCCGCGACGGACAGGGAAATACCTCCCCACCCTCCGCCGCCCACCACGCAGCGCCCGGCGGCAGGCATGCGTAGCAGGCGGTGAGTAGTCAGGCAGGGCGCGCACCAAAAGGAAGTGACGTCACCTGGTGTGTGTGTCTGTGTGTGCGCGTGTGTGTGGATGCGTCCTTGTGTGCGTGTGCTTCGGGAGCGGCTTCACGCAATCCACAGCCCGTAGCTACGTTTCTTGAATATTTCCTGCCCCTGGGAAGGAAGGCAACCAGACCCAATGATATTATATGGATGTCGACTACAGTGTACATCCATGGCAGTATCAAAATTCGGCCCGAACACAAAAAACCGCATCGAAAACGGGCCACATTCATTAAAATTGGTATTTTGCCCCTGGGAGATAGGCAACTCCCTTTGACGGGGCCCCACCGGGGGCTTCCAAGTGGCTCCATATCTCAAATCGAAAGTATGGGTGTGGACAATATTCGTGCAAAGTTTCATAGCGGTATCACGATTTGCAAGGTGGAGGTCATATTGAAGCTGTTAACCTCCGGAGTAAAACAATTGGTCACGTTGCTCTTTTTCGACTCACAAAAAAAATCCGCACAAGGCGATTGGTTGCTAAAATAACGGATTAGCCACCCTAGATCTATGAGCGAAAACTAGACAACTCAGAAAATCGGCAAAATGTGCCTGAGGAATTTTCCCGAACACTTAATCGTGGAAAGTCCTCGACCTGAATGATCTCTGCTTATCCCTGCAATGTCCTTCAAAAAGGCTCTGTCAAAACTCCAAGGTGAAGGGTTCTGGGGATTTTGATGGTAGTTGGGGCATGGGATTTATTCAGATTAAGTTAGTACCGGTCATTGACCCTATTTGGAGCGCTGTCAATCTAATCAATCTACTCGGATCAGACATCAGCTGTTCTAGTGTGATTTTGTTTGTTAATAAATTAATTGTCTATTTATTTTAACCCTACTAACAGGAAATCAATTCCATTAATAAACCTCTAACTTAATGATTCTGGGAAGAATGAAAAGTTTGATGAAAAGTTTGACCACAACTATTGAAAAGTCAACAGTAGCTTGACGAAGGTATGGTATTCATTGAGGCGCTCATTTCCCTTTATTTTGGCCCAGGAAAAATCATCCCGTAACAACACTTCCCTTTGCTCCACAAAAAAAAATCAACGTTTTTTTTTTTTCTTCTCTTTTCTTTTCTTTTTTTTTTTTTTTTCTTATGCTCGAGACCAAGATCACGGTATAGACAAGTGGTTCGACAAGAGACAACAGAAAGAAACCCACCAAACAACAGAACAAAACAAATTTCCTAACCTAATGAGTGTACCGGTGCTGATGGAAGTTCAGAGTTAGTGGCAACAGCTCTGGAAATAACTGGAGGAGGCGGCTGTCTAATAAACGAGGAGCGCAACCGTGGTGGAGGCTGATCACTGTTGGTAATAGAGCGGTACGTCAGGTTGATCGTCCGGCTCGTCCGCAGCAGAGGATCTACACTGACCCAAATAGTCGTGGTTGGTGCGCACCCTGTACTCGACTGGAGCATAATTCCCAATATTTCCAACCTCTCGAGACCGAGGCTTGCTTGCACCAGTGGCTGGGAAACAAGAACTGTGAGTGAGTCGGGTAGGTGGTCTTGAAATATTTCCAGCTGTGGAGGTTTGATCGAAATTTGTGTAACGAGGCGCCTGGATAATTCGGCGGGGTGGAAATTTACACAACGGGTCTAACATGACTTGTGGAGGAGGCTCGACTGAAGGCGGAATGTTCAGTCTTGAAGATGTAGTTTGTCGGAGAGGTTCCGAAGCGTTGGGATTTTCGTCATCGAAGGAAATCAAATCATGCGACGTGGCAACCTCTTCAGACACACGGGTTATCCGGGGATTGTTGGTGTCAAGAAGGCTTTGGTGTTCCTGGTGAACGTCAGCTCGTCACTGCGATTCAATGGCTGTGCCACTTCGGGCCAACTCAAGCCGATTAAATAGCACAGCGCACGCTTCAGCAAGTTTTCGCCTTGTCTCTCGCTCATCGTGTGAAATACAATAGAGCCTGTCGAGACGAGCGTCGGTGTGGCTCAACAGGGTGAAAATTCTCCGAAATTCGCTGTCTGCGTTCTCATGGTCAAAGTTTGTGATTTCTCGCGCCAAAGCTGCAAGTTAGCCTTGACAAATGCAAAGTTTGCTGTCGCTGTCGAAGCAAGAATTTGTTGGAGCCGAAGACTGACCCTCGCGCTCACGGCGCAGAGCGTCACGTAATGCCGTTCGTTTTTGTAGAAAGGTGCCAGTGATGGGCAATCCGCGAATAGCCAATTCATATTTCAAATTTATTTCCATCTTGACGGGGGAAAAATAACGAAACGCCAAGAGGAAATTCGTAAATCCAATTAAAAGTATAGGTAGGTACTTTTAACAAAATACACAAAAAAAAAAACCAAAAGAAACCCGACCTGTAGCAAAGCAAAAAAAAAAAACAATAAAAAAAAATGAATCGACCAAGGGGTTGTGAAAAGAAGAAGAAAAAAAAATATTTACATATAGTGAGGAAGATAGAGAAAGAAAAAGAAATTACCCTAATCCTGCTAGAATGGCGAAGGTAAAAATTAAATCAATAACAGATATCGCAAAATCAAAAAAAAAATAATAATAAATTTTTTTTAAAATAAACAAAAAAAAATACCATTTGTCCAATTTCTTACGTGGCAAAACGGATACTGCCACTTTGTTACCCGCAAAACGCGAGGGAGAAGTAGATAATGAACTTTAAGGGAGTGACTGAAGTGAACGGGTAACCAAGACAAAAAAAAAAAAAGAAAAATCTAGGAAGAGAGGGTTGGTTGCTAGCTGAAATCTAGAAACGTGATTTCGTGTAAAGGGTTGCCGACTAGCTTCCAATGCGGAGAGGTGCGTGGGTCAATTAAATAACTAAATATAGAGCGCCACCTGCTTTTTCCCTGTAGTACACGAAATCAACCGATATAACGAAAGCAGGAAACTTCTACGGACCTATAGCAGCACAACCTGAAATATAAACGTAAACAAGAAGGGAGGACAAAAGTGAAACGCTTTGCTACAATCAGGTACGGGTTTTAATTAGAACCAAAAATGTGAACCAGAACAGGTAGACTTTAGAGCAGGTTCGGAGTGGGTTTTGCGAACGCTCTGGAACACTGACAATTATTAACACTAGAACCAGAACAAGAAAAGAAATCGTCCAGAAGTATCTAACCATATGTTCTTAAAATAGTATTTACAATAATGGTTAATAACACTCAACTTGAGTCCCTTAATAAAGAAATAAACAGTATAACAATTAACAGCAATAATACCTGAAATATAAATTAATAAATAAGCTTACTAAATGCAGTACCTTCGTAAATGGCCATTTAACCCCAGTGTACAATTATTTTTCTGTATTCAGTGCAGCATATATTTATGGGATATTATTATTAAAGAAATATAGATCATCAATTAAACTCAAAGAAACAATACATAGCCTGAGGAGCACATTTAATATTATGGGATAAAATAGGTGGTATATATAGATAAATAATTAAAATTGAAGTATCTAACAATACATAACCTGAATGGCAAGTTTCATATGATAAAGGTAATATAGAAAATTAATTAAAATTTAAATAAAAACACATAATCTGAAAGGTAATTTAATACTGCGTCGTTGTGGTGATTTACTCCAACAAGGGGTTGGTAAGGTTTGATAGGCTCCAGATATTAAAACAATACAACACACTTATCAAACCTGAGGAGTCCCTAAACTCTCGAGGGGAACCTGGAGGATTGGACTGATATCTTCCAGTGTTTCCGGTCGCCTGGGACTGGATCAGGATCGCGACAAGAAGCAACTGGCCCTGGGCACTGAACCTGGGTTCAGTAACCAGGACTCACTAAGGCTTCCAATTGTCTAGAGGAGGCTGAAGATTGGAGGTACTACTTGAAGTAGTAAGCTTAACGTATATCTCTTTACTGAAAGTTAGGGACTAAAGCGTGACGACTAAAATGTGACATCTGAAGGTAAAGATTAAAGTGTAACTTCTAAAGGTGATGAATAAAGGCCTGAAACAAATGGACACTATGAGACAGGGCGTGGAGCAATAGGTAGGTACATACCAATATGAATTGTTTATCCATTTATTTTTTAGATCAGTGGTTTCACCCGATCACCAGAGGCATTTTCTTGCGTCTCAAATGTTTCATAACATTTTTCAAAACTGGTTTAAGTAATGTCACCATGACGTCATAATTTCTCAGCGTGAGAAAATGATTTGAAAATGTGGATTAGATTGTATTTCGAAACAATTTGAACCAATTTTTACGTGATGTCATGGGTTTATCGCGAGAATGTACTGTTTCAAAATAGTTTTGAACCAGTTTTAAAAAAGTGGACGTGAGAAAACGCCGCAGGTGTTTGTATTTCATCTTTTTTCAATGAACACCATTGAAAAAAGACAGATAATATCAGCTGGTGATCGGGCTAGTCGTATCAACGTTTCCGTAAAGGCTTGTTTACAGACCAAAAGTAGCTTGAATCGCTAAACAGCCAGTTTATTACATTTACTGAACATAATTTAGAATTTTTAAACGGAAACTTTGTTCCCGTTAAAAAATCCGTCATCCGTTGAAACTGTTTGTTTTCCGTTTCCGTCCACCAAAATCCGTTAGATATGACGGGAA